ATGATTTTGGTTTGTTTAATGGAACAACAAGTACTTAGTAAAGATAAGGGAGTTGTTGGATTAAATGAAGATAAAGCATACTTTAACTCAGGAACACATAAAAATCTTGAATCAACAGATGTAGATAAATTAATTCGTAGATGTGTTAATAAAATTATTGAAGAATTAGAGACATACCAAAAAAATGGAAGTGGATGGTATTTTAAAGAAGTGGTTCAACTTGAAATTCATACTGTTGAGTATAATCCATCAAAAGGTTCATCTTACATTCCTCTTCCGGATTGGATATCAAATAAAAAAGCAATTGTTAATATTAAAAACAAAGATGAGAAATGCTTTCTTTGGTGTAAACTAAGATATCTTCATCCAAAAGAAAGAGATGAAGAAAGACTAACAGGATTAAAGGAGTATGAGTTTTCTCTTAACACTAAAGACATTAATTTTCCAATGAAATTAAAAGATATTTCAAAATTTGAAAAACTTAATCCATCGATTCCAGGAATCAATGTTTTTTCAGTTAATGAAAGTAAAAAGTTTTATCCTTTGAGAATGGCGGGGAGAGATTGTTTAAATACTATTGATTTATTTTTGTACGAAGAAGATGATGTTTCACATTATTCACTAATTAAAGATTTTACTCGTTTGATTAAGACGCAAAAAACAAAAAGTAAGAATGGTTCAATATTTATTTGTAAGAAGTGTTTTACACATTATACTAAGTATGAACTATTAGAAAAACATATCTTATATTGTTCAAATAATGAAACAGTTTCTGTAACAATGCCTCCACAAGGAACAATGTTAAAATTTAAAAATTATCAAAATCAACTTCCAGTTCCTTTTGTAGTTTATGCAGATTTTGAATGCTTTACTAAACCAATGAATACTTGTAGTCCTAATCCAAAAGAATCGTATAATTACAACTACCAAAAACATGAACCATCAGGATTTTGTTTTTATATAAAAGGAGTAGTAGATACAAAATTTGAGCCAATTATTTATACCAAGAAAAAAGAAAGCGATGATGTAGCAAAGATATTTGTTGAAAAACTTGCAAAAGTAACTAATAAGATATATAATGATTTTTATCGCCGTCCATTACCTCTTAAATTAACATATGCTGAACAAAAATTATTTAATAAAGCTGAAGCCTGTCATATTTGTAAGGAAGAATTATTAGATGACAAAGTTAGAGATCATTATCATTTTACTGGTAAATACCGTGGTGCTGCTCATAACAGTTGTAATCTCAAGTGTCGAAAACCAAGAATACTACCAGTTATATTTCATAATCTACAAGGGTATGATGCACATTTGTTTATTAAACAACTTGCTCGTTTGCAAGGTGATTTAAACTGTATTCCATCTACGGAAGAAAAATATATTTCCTTTTCCAAAAATGTTAAGGTTGATGAGTATAAAGATGTGCTAACTGGATTAACTTTTCCAATAAATTTTGAAATACGATTTATTGATTCGTTCAAGTTTCTTCAAAACATCTCTTGCTAATCTTGTTTCAAATCTCCAACCAGATGATTTTTATAATACAAAAGAAGTATTCAAGGAAAATGTAAACCTACTAACTCGTAAGGGTGTTTATCCATATGATTATGTTTCATCACTCGAAAAACTATCAGAAAAACAATTACCACCAAAAGAAGAGTTTTATTCAAAACTAAATGATGAAGACATAAGTGATGATGATTATCAACATGCTATCAATGTCTGGAATAATTTTAAATGTAAAACAATTAGAGATTATCACGATCTTTACCTAAAGTCTGATGTTCTACTTTTATCAGATGTATTTGAAAACTTTAGAAAAACTTGTTTGAAACATTATAATCTAGATCCAGCACATTATTACACATCTCCTGGATTAGCTTGGGATGCATGCCTCAAAGAAACAGGTCAAGAATTACAATTACTACATGATTATGATATGTTGATGATGTTTGAAAAAGGTATTCGTGGTGGTATATCACACATATCAAAAAGATACGCAGAAGCAAATAACAAATACATGAAAAATTACAATCCTGATAAAGAGTCTAGTTATATACAATATCTTGATGCAAACAATCTTTACGGATGGGCAATGTCACAACAACTTCCAACACATGGTTTTAGTTGGATGAAAGATTTAACAAAAGAAAAAGTGATGGATATTTTGGAGAAAGCAAATCATAGTATGTCAAATCGTGGAAGAAAAGGATATATATTTGAAGTAGATTTGGAATATCCTAAAGACCTATGGGATACACATAATGACTATCCACTTGCACCTGAGAAGATGAATGTTAATGGTGTTGAAAAACTAATTTGTCATTTTAAACCAAGGAAAAACTATGTTGTTCATTATCGAAATTTGAGACAATATCTTGAGATGAGAATGAGAATAACTGCTGTTCACAGAGGAATATCATTTTACCAATCTTCCTGGATGGAACCATATATAAGAAAGAATACAGAACTTAGAAAAACAGCAGCCAACAGTTTTGAAAAAGACTTTTTCAAATTAATGAATAATTCTGTATTCGGAAAAACAATAGAAAACATAAGGAAAAGACAAAATATATTTCTCGTGGATGATCGTAAGAGAGCTGCAAAACTAACAAGTCGTCCAAACTTTGATAGAGCAACAATATTTGATAAAAATCTTATTGCAGTTCATATGAAAAAAACTGAAGTTTATTTCAACAAACCAGTATATGTTGGACAAGCAATTCTAGATCTGTCAAAAACATTAATGTTCGATTTCCATTATAACTATATTAAAAATAAATATAAAAACAAAGCTGAGTTATTGTTTACAGATACCGACTCGTTGACGTACCAGATCAAAACAGATGATTTTTACAAAGATATATCCCGTGATATAGAAACCAAGTTTGACACATCTGATTATCCTCCTAACCAACCATCTGGAATAATAAGAGGAGTTAATAAAAAAGTAATAGGAATGTTTAAAGATGAAGTAGCGGGAAAACAGATTACTTGTTTTATTGGATTGCGACCCAAACTTTATAGTTTTAGAATAGAAGAAGATAAACAAGTTCTTAAATGTAAAGGAATAAAGAAAAATGTTGTAAAAAAGACATTGGATTTTGATGATTATACCGATTGTTTATTTTTGAATAAAAAACAAATGAGAAAGATGAAAATTATAAGAAGTGAAAATCATGATATATACTCCAAAGAAGTAAACAAAATAGCACTAAGTAATGAAGATGATAAACGCGAAGTTCTCTTGGGTAAGATAAAAACAATTGCTTTAAGATAATAAGATATAAATAATAAATGAGTTATACTGAAGAACAAATAAAGCAATATCTAGATATATTGCATAATTATACTAAAAAACCTGTAGATGAGATTAAAAAATCTAAATGCTGTAATTGTTACAATAGTGAATGTTTTTCTATTGATATGGGAATTAAAATTTGTGATAATTGTGGCGTGATAAATGGTCATGTATTAGGTTTTTACGATGTTAAAGATTATGATAGATTACATTTTCGAAAAAAAAGTATTTATCAGAGAAAGTATTATTATGAGAAAAAGGTTAATCAAGTTTCTAAAAGACTAAAACTAACTGATGAACAAAGATATGAGCTTTATAATAAACTAATGGCAATAGACAATCATGTTATGGAAATACTAAACAAAAAGTATTGTAGAAAGAGAATGATAAGTATTTTTTATCTAATTAAAAAACTTTTAGAAGAGATGGGTTGTGAAAAGTACAAACTAGTTTATCTTAAGATTTCTTCTCAAGCTTTAGAGAATTATGAAAAGTGGTGGAATAGTTATAAATCAATCAACCACTCCTCTGTGAAAAAACCAGTAAACAATTCCAGTTAGATAACCAAGTACTTCACATTCTTTGAAAGGAGTATTAAAAGTATAAACACATCCTCTTCCAATGTTATAATGTTTCCAGAAAGCTTTGAAAGCGAGATTGAATATCAAATGATTTTTAATAATATTTGAATTTGAATTTAGGTAATGTCTTGCTTCTGTTAGTCTATAAATAATTTGATCAATGTCAAGTTTTTGTGTAAAATACTTTGCATAGAGAAACTGGTAAACAAGACAAGCTTTTATGAAATTATCTGGATAAAATCGTGTTAAGTTGGGAAGTAAAAATAAAAATAAGTAAAAATAAACATATGCTACAATTGATTTGATCATTTTATATTATGAATAGATATAAAATGGTTTAAAGATTTAATATAATCAATATATAAAAAATGGTGAGTCTTACTATTTCAGAAGAAGTTCTAAAAAGAGAAGGGGGGAACTAATTGATCATTTAAAAAATAGTCTTGATGAATTTCAAGATATATTTAGAATGAAAAGTTTTTCTAATTCATGTTTTGAAAAAATTAAAAGAATGAAAGAGGATCTTAATATAGCAGAATCTGTTGCAATGTACGAACAATTAAAAAGAGAAGGAAAACCTCTTGGTGAAAATTTAGATTGGTATCACTACTATGAAGAATATAAAAAAGATAAAACAGAAGATAAAAAGACTAGACTTGTAAATACAGCTCCTTCTGGGTTTTTTAGACCTGATTTTGAAAGTATTTTTAGAATACTTGAATTAGTAGATATAGAAATTTTTGAAGATTTATATTTTGATGTGAGACTTATTTTAAAAAAATATGAAATTTATCAAGTTTTAAAGAAGTAGTGTTGTATGTATTATCATTTTCTATTTAATTTAAATAGAAAATTAATATTGGTTTAAAGAAATAAAAATACAAATAAAAAAATGATTGAAAAATTTTTTATCAATTATCAACTTGGAATTAAGTTTAATTCGTATATTGATCACAAATGTAGAGTTTGGTTTAAAGCCAAAGAAGTAGCAACTATTTTAGGTTACAAAGATACTGATCAAGCTATTAGAAAACATGTTGATGATGAAGACCGAAAATATTATCCCGTCGAAACGACGGGATATTCAAAAAGAGGAAAACCTCCTATTTTTGTAAATGAATCAGGTTTATATTCTCTTGTATTATCTTCTAAATTAGAAACCGCTAAAAAGTTTAAAAGATGGATTACCTCAGAAGTTTTACCTTCTATTAGAAAATATAGTTATTACAAAATGATAGATTTAAGAATAAAACAAAGAGTAATAATTGATGGAGTAAAATACTACAAACATCAAGTGTTTAGTAATTATGCCGCAAGCAAAAATGGAGATGTAATAAATGTAAAAACTGGTAAAACTATCAATATTTTAAAAAGAGAAAATAATTATTTAAATTTTACAATTTATGATAAAAGATTAGAAAAACAAATAAATTACATTCAACACAGATTTGTTTACGAGGTTTTCCGAGGGCCAATTCCACGTTGCTTTGAATTTGATCACGTCAATAATGTTAAGTCTGATCATAGAATAAAGAATTTGCAATTACTTACCCATAAACAAAATTCTAGAAAAAGTATTAATAAACCAATTATTTCTATAAATATAGAAACTGGAAAAGAAAGAAGATATAATTCTATTAAAGCAGCTTCAACTGAATTAGATATTAATGCAGCTTACATTTCAATGATTTGTAGGAAAAAACGTAAATCAGCTACTTCAAAGAAAAATATAAAAAAATATACATTTAGATACTTAGATTAGTTTTTCAATATTTATCTAAATATTGAAAAACAGCTAAATCTAAAAAAGATAGAAAAAAATATACATTCAAATACTTATAATTTTTAGTTTAATCTTTAAACCATTTTATTTTCTAGAGAATATTTGATATATCTGTATCTTGAAATATTCTTTAAAAATTTTCTACATTTTTCAACAATTTTTTCATCAATATCAACTCTTTTTGGATTAGTACAAAGAAGACAATAAGCATTAGCTTTTTCTATTAACAATTCATGATCATCTTGAATTAAAGAATCAACTTCTTTACAAATTTCTTCCCCTTCTAGAGCTAAAGTTGATTCGTAAGAACTAATTAATTGTTTATCAAATTTTTCAAAATGGTCCATTCTAATCTATACTTAGATTAAATTTTTTGTTATACCTACTAACAAATCTATCTGCTATAGGTGTTTGATCAATTATCATTTCATCTATTAGTTTCATACGTTCAATAAACTCTTGTTTATTAAACTCATCACTTCTCAGAGCTGCACGGAGTTAAACCAGTACCTTTTCATACGTTGTAAATGCAATCCTTGACATCTCAATTTTTCTTTTGTAATTATTTTTTTTTTCAATTCCTGCCACTACAACTCCAGCACCATTTACAACTCCGAGAACAACAGGGTTTAGGGTTATTCCACCAGAAATAGTTCCAATTGCAACCAAGCATATTCCAGAGATTGTAAAAACATCATCAAGAAATTTGTAACTCTTATACGATTTCTTAAAACACCAGTATTTTTTGTGGTAGTGACTATAAAAGTCTTTTAGGGTTGTGACGTCTGATTCTGACAGAGATTTATCAATGTGATTAAATTCAAATATATCCTTCATTTATATCTATACTATATAAGATCCACTTAACTTTTCTTGAAGTATTACTTTGTGATATTGCTCAGAGTCGGTGTCGTAAAAGTTTGGAGAATACATTAATTTATTTAACACTCCATCTTCAGTTGTAAACTTCCAACATTGATTAACATTGTATTGAACGGCTGGTATAGTTAATGTTGCGCTGTAGTTACTTATTTTAACTTTTGTGGCATTTGCATCAAAATTTTCTGTTAGCCATAAAACAATTATTTTGCCATTAAATTCACTTAGCGTGGTAAAATTTTGAGTTGCTTTGTTGATAGTTAAAGTTACTTTATTGTTTGTTTTATCATAATTTAATTTTAACAGTATGCTATTGTTTGTTGATAAATATTTAGTTAGGGTAAAACTCCTATTTGTCCAATGACTAAAAACAATACATAAAGTAGATTTCGAAGAATGTGAAGGAGAAAAAGTAACATCGTAACCATTAACATTTAAGCCATCTTTTTTTATTTCACTTAGGTCTTTATTAGGTGGTAGTGCAATATTAGGCTTTACAGAATTAATAATAACTCCAGATGAACCTATATTTATTCCGTAACTATCTGCATTAGCAAAGTCATAGACCTCACTAAAGTATAATCTGTACAAAGCATTTTTAGTAAAAGGAGCTAATTCTTTTACTAATGCAACTGTTGCAGCACTATTATCATTTTGTCGGTTAAGTTTGATATTTTTAATTTCTTTTTGATTTGCGTTGATATCAACATTGTACACCACTTTTGTTGGTTTGATATCAAATGTGGTGTGATAGTCGTAAACTTTATCTGGATCGATATTACTAAATGTACCCACAATACCATAGGCAATTATGTAAACCCCACTAAAAATTTTCGGGTATCTATAAATGGCATATCCTCTTTTATTAATATCAACAAGAATGTGAAGAAAGAATCTATTCCCAGATGACAACTTCCGAAAATTAACTATTATTCTATGGTAGTACATAACTTTTGTTTGCCCTTTTGAATCAGTATACCTATGGGATAGTTTTCTTATACCTACATTTCCAATTGATAATCCTGTTGAAGTTCCTTTGTCAACACTTATTTGAGACTTATCCCAAAGATTATAATCAGTGTTAAGTATCTCCAAACACAACGTGTAATCAGTATTTGCAGGTAGACTGTAAAAATTAATTCCCATCTTATACTTATATTGACCTTGGCGATTTTTAACTATATTCATGTAAATTACTTTATGGTTGTAATCGTGAAAATTACCTTTGTTTGGTGGTAAGTCTCCTATCTTACTTATCACAAAACTTGTTCCAGTATCTATTTCATCAGTCCATTGAGACCCACTTGACATAAGATAAACAAACTCATCTTTATAATGACTTGGTTGAACTGCAGTGTGATGAACTAGTTTGTCGGCATAATCTTTAGTTACTGCTTCATTGTCTTGGGTTGGCTTACTAAGATTTAATATTTTATTATTACCAACATTAAGGTCTCCAGTCATAGCAACAGTACCATCTTTTTCCAAATAATCACTCAAATCTGGACTTCCAGTATTATCATCAACATATTTCTTTGTTGCAGCATCTGTATTTGATGTTGGAGTTGCGAGACCAACTATTTTATTGTTGTTAAGATTCAAGTCTCCAGTCATAGCGACAGTACCATCTTTTTCCAAATAATCACTTAAATCTGGAGCACCTGTGTTATCATCCACATACTTTTTAGTTGCAGCATCTGTGTTTGATGTTGGTGGTCTAAGGTTAATTATTTTTTTATTATCCATGTTTAGATTATTAGTCATTTTATTTGTTCCACCAACGTGAAGATACTTCATATCTGTGAAAGCTAATGGTGTTGGTTGTTTTCCACCATTTGGAGCTGGCAGATTTAATATTCGATTGTTGTCCACATCTAGATTTCCAGTCATTTTTTCTGATCCATCTAGATTTAAAAAATTATTATCTACATAATATTTTGTTGCTGGTTCACTGTTTGATGAGGGTGTTCGAAGATTTAGTATTTTGTGGCCGCCAGTGTTGAAGTCGCCAGTCATAGTAACAGTGCCGTCTTTTTTGATGTAATCATTTAGTTTGGTGTTAACCAAATTGTCAGTGTATTTTTTTGAAGTTGCATCACCATCTCCTGTAGGATCACCAAGATGAGTTATGCGATAAGATCCAAGGCTTAAATCTTGTGTCATTGGTTTTGTTCCATTAGTTTTTAAAAAATTATTATCAGCGTAAGATTTTGTTGCTGCTTCATCTGCATCAGATGGTGTTTTAAGATTTAGTATACGATATGTATCTTTCATATCAATGTCTGAATCAACTGTTATTAATGATGTTTTTCCACCCCCAGAATTATCATCAACATACTTCTTGGTTGCCGCATCGGTGTTGGATGCCGGAGCACCAACATTTCTTAGTTTTTTATTTATCATATCATAATCCCCACTTGAAGTGAGATTAAATCCTACTCCTGGTGCACCCTGAATTCCTCTAGCAAAAGGATGATCAAAAGATTGTTCGTTAAATATACCCATTTTAATTATTAGGCTAGATTACCAGTAAAGTTTCTTGCAATACGTTTTTTTGGTTTATCATCATATAGAAATGAATAAGGTTTTTTAGTTGCTAATTTATATTTTTTTTTGTCAACCTCCAACTCTCTTGATATCATATTGGTATTATTCGATGATGGAAACTGATATAGACAGTAATGAGAACAATTCATCCGAATATCTATTGGTGTTTTATAAAAAGACTGACTTAAATAAATCACTGAACAATTTTTATGTCGTCCTTGAATGAAATAATCTATTAACTGTCTCTGGTTTTTATCACAAACATAGTCATCAAATATCACAAGTTTTTGGTTGTCTTCATAATCCATTTCTGACACTGGGGTTATTTCATCATTACTCACATGAAGTATTTCATATCCAACTTTAGAACTCAGTTCTCTCATTTTTTGCATTAGCTTTTTGTATTTATCCTGCTCTAAATTACGCGCATAAAGATAAATCTCATCGAAGTACAGCAGTGGTTTAATTAACATATGATATAACAGATTAGTCTTACCACTTCCACTACTACCACAGATTAACATCCGAAATGTGTCTGATGGCATGTAAGGAAATAACTGTTTATATTTTTTATCTGAATTGTCGGCACTATCATAGTTTGGTATTTCCATTTATCTAATGATTAAATAAAATGGATATTGAAGAATACAAAAAACTTGCAAGAAATAAAATTGAAGCTGATGCTTTGACTAAACAGGTGAGAGATGTAATAAAAATAACAAAATGGCAAAAACAAGATATGCGGGAAGGTTTTAAAGAGACATTTAAACCACTTATTAAATCTCAAGATAGCATTAAAAAAAGTATTGATGAGCAGCAAGACGCAACTATAGCACAACTTAAAAAAAATCAACTTGCATTAACATCAGGATTGGAAAAGATTAATGAAACTAATGAAAGATTAGCTGATATAAAAGAATTGCCAGACTCAGATGATTGGGTGCCAATGCCCCCACCAGATGATGGAAAAGGCTGGGATAGTAACTGGGTACCTGTACCTCGACCATCAGGTAATTTAGAAAAAAACTTTGTTGGTAGTGAACTTATTTTTTTACAAAATTATGATTATCCAAGACCAAGTGAATTTAATGAAGTTGGTGTTAAAGATTTAGAACAAATACATACAAACTTAAACCAAAATATACGTGAGTTGGATGGTCGAATTGTAGGTAGAAAAAATAATAAAAATCCATCTCCAGAGTATGTAGCTGGAACTAATAAATTAAAAGAATCAGTAGGTATACTAAAAAAATATAGAAATACAATGAATAGATATTTTAACTCAATTAATTATCAAGCAGGGCAGGGTATTGTTTACTTTAACAACCCACAAGAACTACTAAAAAGACTTGAATTACTTGGTGGTTCAATTCTTGCTGGGAATAATGGTGTGATACCTGAGTTTTCTCAAATTGCACATCTTCTCAACCAAGTGAAAGTGATCTCAAAAAAACAACTTAATGATTTACTAAAAAATTATATATCTATTAAATAAAAATGGAAGAACGAGCTATCCACATTTCCTCAATAAATAGGGAAAAAAGAGGAACAAGCAGACCTGGTGATTTTACTGTTAAGTTTAATCCATCTCTAAAACGTGACCCTGATAAATATCCCACCAACTTGCTCTTGATCGGCTGTCCATGACGTACTCTTGGTACAACATTAGAAGTGATTATAAAAACAATAAAATCAAATACACCCACGATGGATCCACCTGGCAAACAATTACTTTTACAGATGGAATGTATTCCTACTCAGATATCAATGATTACATTCATCAATACATGGTTCAAAAAAATCATCACACAACAGATTCCAAAGGAGAAAAGAGTTATTCAATTAATTTAACTTTTATACTATCTACCTATCGAGTTCTCATATCACTTGATGGTGATTATCAACTTGATCTGAGAGGAACAGAATTTGGGGATTTAATTGGATTTGAAAAGAAACTTATTACAAAAACAGAGTATGGAACAAAACTACCAAATATCACAAATTCGATTGATGTGTTGAATATCAACACAAGCGCAATAACTGATAGCATTGTAAATGGTATAAATACAAATACTCTTGCTGTGGTACCAACAGACAATCTAACAAGGTCTTTTCCATTTACGTTTGAACCTAAAAGACCATTGTATTGCCCTTTATCATCATTTCACATTGATGAAATGAGAATCTATGTGACAGACTCACTTGGAAGACCAGTAAATTTTAATGGTATTGATTGGTTTATGACTTTAATACTCCATTCAATGTAATATAACTATTAAAATAAAATGATGCGACAATCAGAGTTTAAAATGAGATTTGACCCAGAATTGGGAAAATACACAAGACAACATATTTATGGAGAAGGAATGATGGATGCGTTTAAATCGTTTGGTTCAAAATTATTTGGAAAAACAGTAAAATCAGCTGTTAAAAAAGGAGCTAAAAAAGCGGTAGCAACAGCTGCAACAAAAACTGGTGAACATGTTGGTAAAAAGGCTGGTGATAAAATAGTGCAAATGCTAACCAAAAGTAGCCTGCGTCGCAGACACTCTAAACCTTCTGTATAGAGAGTCTGCGAATTAGTGCACAATATCGTGTTCGAATCCCGTAGAGTAGCATGGATATATGTCGGCGTTATTGATTGGCTATTTTCTTTCGCAGTTTGTGATTAGTCCGATTTGAATTAAGCGTTGACAGGCCAAACATGACTCATAGCTCGTGACCAGAGAGATTGAGCTCGTGATAGTGTGAAACGTGACTTTAGAGACCCCTAGAGTAGCTTGAACAACAGATGTTTTTCTTGCTCTCTTTTTGCGTAATTTATACAGTGCATGGAGTATTCTACCATTTGACTGAGCAATTTTTTTTTGCCTCTTTGAGTCTCACCTTTAGCTACATTTAGAGGTTGTGAAGCTGGTCTGTTTCATACATATTGAGTAATTAGTTCCTGTAGTTTATTTTTTGGCAAATGTTTTCTAAGAGGATTTGATCACAGATGCATAAATGATTTTCTTTTACCTCTGACTAAGCCTTAAGCTTCTTTATTGCGGCTAAATAACCTAAGTTTCTTTGGTTTTCAACGAAACGCTTGGACCTGAATAGCTACATGTGTGTAGTTTTTTTTTTTTATCGTGAATAACGTGATGATTTCTTCATTTGTTTTGACTCTAGAACTGTCGGCTAGATTACAGAATACGCAATAGTACATCTGCAGCGATTGGGAGACGCTGGGAAACAAGCCGGCAAATTTACTAGCAAATTTTGGCCTTGAAGGAATTATCTCAAAGCGTTTTTTTGCTCAGAAGACGGCTCTAAGGTTCGAACTGATCTTTCGATTACTGTAAACGATCCTTGCCAACTCCCTTCTGTGAATTTTAATTGACATGTCACTGCGCCCAACCGTCACGCACACGTAAAAATTAGGCCAATCGTGCGGCTTGTAAGAAACCCGCCTATCAGAAACGCTCACATATGTCCTTGCGACTCTGCAGGATATTGGAACGAGCTTTTGTGCACTAATTCGCAGACGGACTATACAAATGGTTTAGACGAGTACGTGGGCCGGCTGCAACGCAGGCTAACCAAAAGTAATAATAAACCAAAAGTTACTTTTAATAAAAATGTTGCAACAATTCCAAGTGAAAAAGAGTTAAATCAAAGATTGAATAACCTTCTTAGTGGAGGTTCAACACGTAAGAGAAAATTATATAATTATTAAAATAAAATGAAGTCTTTTAGAAATCCAAAATATTTAGACAGATATGAAGATGTTGTATTTGACCTGGAACAGACTTTAGATACTGCCCCAGCAAATAACGCGCACCAAACTAAAACAGGTCTTAGATTTGTTGCTGATAATACAGGAGAAACTACTCCTTTTGATTGGTTTAACGCCCGATTATCAGTGGATTTTAAAGTAAATAAGCTGGCAGATGGAGGAAATATTGCGGTTGCTGACCATAATGGAATTGTAAATGGTAGTAACTCTGTTATAGAAAAATTAAGTATCCTGGCAAATGGTCGAGAAGTTTATAGTTGTAAAAATTTACTTGAGTATAATCCTTCATATGCACAGAGCGTTGCTACAAACGAATTTTATTTTCTTGATACATCAAGAGCTGCAGAGGAAAGACCTGCTCAAGCAACTTATAATAAAGGTTTTCATCAAAGGAAATTACTATTAGGTGCATCAGCCACAGTAAACTGTGAAATTCCTCTTAATAGATATTCTTTCTTTGAAGCATTGGAAGATAAACTACTTCCTAATACAAAAATTGAGCTAAATATCGAAATTGAAAAAGATGCAAATTTAATTTTTCAAGGTGCTGATGATTGTAGAGTTATTATAACAAGACTAAAACTTTTTATTCCAAAACTTACGTTTAATTCAGAAGGACAAAAGTTGTACATGGAAAATTATCTTAAACCTTACAAATGGACATATTTGAATGAAGTAGTTGAAAGGTCAAATAATACACAACAACAAACAGGACATTTTAGAATTACAAATGCTATTTCAAAGCCAAGGCATGTATTTGTTTTTGGAATTGATACAGCAAGAATTGATTAACAAACAGCAAATCCATTTCTATACGACACTTTTAATTTACCAAATAATGCTAATATAAGAGATTGTCACCTGGAAGTTGCAAATGGAAACGAATATCCATTTATTCACTTTAAACCTTCTACAGATATGTCAAGAGTTTTTAGAAATGTAATGTCATACATCTATGCAAATAATGATTATCAAGGTGGAACATTACTTAATATAAGTAATTTGAAATCTTTATTTCCTTTTGTTTATTTTGACCTGACAAAACAAAAAATGGATATCAAAGATGGTGTTACAAAACTAGCATTTCATTACGAATTAACTGATAATCCAAACGCTGATTATAATATTTACGCATTAGTCTTACATGAAAGAGTAGCAGAAATATCACAACAAGATGGCAAACTATTGCTTCGTGCTTAATCTAATATTAATATAAAATGGAAGAGGATTATTACTCAGATGATGATGAAAAAGTAGAAGCTAAAGTTAATATTTATTACGCAAATAAAATAAAAAATATATTAAAAAATGCTAAATTTTTAGTAAAAGATTATATTCAAGCTATTGTTTATTTAACCCAAAAACAACTAAACGAATTGTATAAAGGTAAACCTATAACCTTAAATTTAAGAGCAAATATAAATACACCAAAAACTAATATTTTTGAATTTCTTACAAAAGATAGATCAAATTTACCATCTATCATTTACCTTTCACTAGATCAAATGACACAAATTTTTTCTCGTTATAAGAATAGTACTAAAACGTTTAAAATAACCTTATCAGAAAAACAATTATCAGCTACCCTAAAAGAAATTAAAAAAGTAAACAAACAAATTGATTCTTTTTTTAATGATTTTAAAGATAAAAATAAAAATTATAATATCTTAGTAAAAAATGAATATGATAAATTTATATCTAACTTAATGAGTTATTCTTCAAAAACCCCCATGCTAGAAAGCAGAAAACAAAAAGTTGGTAAAGTAATTAAAACTCTATTAAAAAAAACAGAAAGAGTGGGAAATTATTATCAAACTTTAGTAAATACAAGCTTAATAGATATACATAACTTTATAAAAAAATGTATACAAGGAAATACTAAAGGTGATTTTACTTTAAATTTATATTCTAAAATAAAAGGAAGTAGAAAATATAAAATATTTCCATTCGTTCTTTTTTTAACAGCAACACAAAAATAACAATTAAAAATATGGCCAAATGATGTGGCGATTTTGAAATTAACTTTAAGCAACAATCAATTTCATAAAACATGTTTTGCTACAATATTACTAAATAGAGATATTTATCACTTAAGTAAATATGATTATTTACCTCCTGCACCAAAAATAAAAAGAATTACACCACTTTTAGCAATTGAAATGAAAAATTTAATAGATTTTGATAATCCTCCCACAACAAGCAAACCAGATCTTATTTCAACAACCAGCAAACCAGATCTTATTTCAACAACCAGCAAACCAAAAACAAAAACAAAAACAAAACCTGTAAATAAATTAAATGAAATAATGGAAAAGAATTTATTAGATTTTACCAAAGAACCGTATAAACAATTTACCCCAAATCAAAGTGTTAAAAAAATACAAACTGAAGTAAGAAACACCTTAATAAGTGAAATTAAATACCCACTAACAAAAGATGTTATTGGATTAAAATTAACAAAAGAATTGAAAGAAAAAATAAGTAAACTAACTACAGAAGCAGCAATTGGATTAACTTGGATTATAAGAGCATTAGTAGAAAGTAATAAGAAAAAATTAAATGTTTATTATGTAAATAATAATTACTATCGTTTATCTAAAAAACAAATAAAAGAAATTGTTGAGTATTATTTTACTTCATTATCTTTACTTTTAAATCCAGCACAAAAATATTAATATAATCACTTTAATAAAATGTCAACTTATATTGAATGCGGTGTAAAACTTACAGATGGGCAAAAGTCAAAACTGATAAGTGCAATCAGAAATAATACACCACTAACTCTTCGGTTAAAACATTCTCATGTTCGAGGATCAGATGAGTTAATGCTAACAAAAAGACAAATTACTAAAATAAAAAAATCACTGAGAGATGGCTCAGGATCAGATATAAAAATAAGTAAAACCCAAATTAGAAAATCTGTAAAACATGGAGGATCCTTATTTTCTTCACTCGCATCTCTTGGAGCAAAAGTACTACCATATGCAATAAAAGGAATTTCAAAAGCTGTTCCTGCATTTGCAACTGGTGCTGCTACTGCACTTGGAGAACTTGGAATAAATAAAATATTTGGAAAAGGAATTACAATTCCAAAAATGTTTTTCCCATTTTTACCACCTCTTGTAAGAGAATTTACCAAATCACAAATAAATCAAATTAACAGAGCTTATCAATCAGGTGGACGACTGGTTATCAAACCAACTCGTAAACAGATAGAAGGAGGATTTTTGGGAACACTTGCTTCTATTGGTATTCCAATGGCAATTAGTTTAGTATCTAAGATGTTTGGCTCTGGACTTCAGGTTGATAGACATTCATCATCTAATACAGCAAATGTTTACGTTCCACATCCTCCTCCTCCATCCACACATGGTGAAGGTTATCCTTATAGACCACCACCATTTATTGGTACTTGGGAAAACCCAGTAGGAATGGGAGTTAAAAAAAAAAGTCCAAGTCAAAAGGCAAGGGACTTCTTCTAGGAAAAAACAGCCCATTCAACTCATGCAATTCCAATACTCGGAACAATTTTGTAATTAAACCACTATCCAACTTTGACCTCATGGATTGGGTAAAAAAACTTGGTATTAAACATTTTAGAGGAATATACAGTCGTGATGGTCTACCAAAAAAGATTAGAAAAGAATGCGGAGTAATCAATCTCGATGACATGACTGGCCCTGGAACACACTGGGTTTGTTATAGAAATATAGACAATGTAGTTGAGTACTTTGATCCATTTGGTTTAATAATGCCAAATGAAGCATTAGAGTATTTTCATACTTCTGGAAAACGTATAGTTTACTCAATGGATGAAATACAAAATCGCAATACTGTTCTCTGTGGTTACTGGTGTTTATATTATCTGTTTGAGAGACAACGGGGTAATAGTATTCTAAACGTAATACATAACCCTCACTTTGATAATGATAACAGTGATTCTATAAAAGAATATTTCTCTTAAGACTAAATATAAAAATTTATATTTAGTCTGAATCCACCGGTGTATCCTTTAGCTGTTTAACCTTATCAACTTTTGTATTTAGATCTTTAACACTATCAACTATATCATCAAATTTCGAGTAAATATCTATAAGACGATAAAGTTTCTTCTTTTTATTACTATTTATTTGCAACCAAGAATACTCCTCATTTCTAATTTTTTCCCACATCTCACATTCACCAGCCATTAGTACTCTAGAAAGATCATCATTTTTCTTTCTAAGAGACTCAAACTCATTATTTATTTGTGTTCGTACATCTTTCTCAAAATCTTTTAGTGTTTTAACATCCATCTTTTTCTCTATCTCAGAAAAGAATTTGGCTTCCATTTTATTATATAAATAGATAATTTCCTTTTACAACTTTATTAAGTGTATTTGATTTCTCACTTATTTCCATAAGCAACTCAAATACTTTTATAAATTTAGTGTCATTTTCCAATCTAGAAAAATCAGCGTATTCATAACTCATGTTTAAATTATTGTATATCTTTTGAAGTTCACTTTTAAGAAAATTAGATCTAGTAGACATATTTTATCTAAACATTATATTAAATGAAAGAATCATATTGTATTGTAGATAAAAAAGTAACTCCTTGCACAGAGCCAAGTGGTTACCAAAATGATAAAAGAGGGCGAACTCAATTTTACTGTCATTGCGCGGTTTGTGGAATTAAAAAAGTTAGATATGTAAAAACTGGATCAGCTTCTCAAACCGGAAGTGGAAAAAAGAGAAAAACTAAAAAGAAGTCAAAAAACTAATAAGCCCGTCTGAAAGGGCGGGCAAAGGTGTTTCTGATGCTATTGGACCAATCAAAACAGGAATAAATGTAGGACAAAAAATATCAGAAACCTTGTTTCCTCAAACAAAGCAAGTATTCAAAGATTATTGGTCTGGTGATATTGCCAAAGGTGTTGTTAATTCAGAAGATGGTATATTTACTTCCAATTTCTGGACGGGTGATACAACTGTGTTTCGTAGTCATGGTAAAAAATTTTATTTTAAAGAAGGAAATCCCATAATGGTTGTCAAGCAAAATGGCAAACAAATTGGGTATGCACATGTAAAAGATTTTTTCAATGGTGGTTTAGGAACCAACAAAATATACAAATCTGTAGCAGAGATTTAAAAAAAATATGGTTCAGGAGTTGACATTCACAAACAAATACTAAAAATCGCACCTTATAGAGGAATAACTATACCAGGCCATAATTATACTGGACCTGGAAATCCTCTTCATGATCAACTTCGTCATGACTCTGAGGGAAATATACTAGAAATCTACCAACAACCAACAGGAGCAACTGATGCAGTTAGTATGCAACATGATGTTGATTACACAGTTTGTGGTAACAAACCTAAAAGTGAACAATTAAAATGCAAACATGCTGCAGATAAAAAAATGGTAAAATCACTAGATGCAATTCCTTGGAAAAAAAGACAATGGGGACATACTTTGGCTAGAACTATGATAAATACAAAACAAAAACTTGGACTTGGTTTAAACGCGCGTCGGCATTGAGTAGTGATTGGTCTCAACAATTAGCCGACGAACTTCACAAACCAATCACACGAAACTTTCAAAAGAGATCAGTAGTCTCAAACGGGATTGATGAAATCTGGGCTGCTGATTTAGTTGAAATGCAAAAGTTTAGTAAGTGGAACAAAGGTATTAAATATCTTCTAATGGTAATAGATGTGTTTAGCAAGTATGGATGGATTAGGGGCCTGAAAGACAAAAAAACTGAAACTGCCAGTAAATCATTCGATGACATATTCAAAAGTAAACGTAAACCACAAATGCTATGGACAGATAAAGGTTCTGAATTTATCAGTAAACATTTCAAAGATTTTCTTAAAAGAGAGGGTATCAAACTATATCACACTGAAAATGAAGAAAAATCTAGTGTTGTTGAGCGATGGAATAAAACAATGAAAAACAGAATGTGGAAGATGTTTACTGTGAATAACAACACTGTTTACTGGAATAAGTTAGATAAACTAGTTAATGATTACAATAATGCGAGACATTCTAGTATAAAAATGACTCCTGTTGAAGCGAGTAAAAAGAAAAATGAAAGTAAAGTTTGGTCTAATTTGTATGGTGATTCGATTTACTTAAAACCTGGTAAATCAAAGTTTGCAATTGGTGATCGTGTTAGAATTTCTAAGTATAAGAGAAAGGTATTTGATAAGGGCTACACACCAAACTGGACAGAGGAGATATTTGTAATTGATAAAGTTCTACCAACAAAACCTGTTACATATAACATCATTGATTTGATGGGAGAAGAGATAAAGGGTTCTTTCTACGAGCAAGAACTGCAAAAAGCAAAACAGCAGACTTTTAGAATAGAAAAGATAATCAGACGAGATAATAAGAAAAAAATGGCATTAGTAAAATGGAGTAGATATCCTGATAAATTTAACTCATGGGTGAGTTCTAAGGATTTGGTTGATTTTTAATACAAATATGTATTAAAAATAAAATCCTATTATTTACTCAGTTTCTTCTTTATCAGAGATAACTAAGTCTTCAACTACTTGCTCAGTTACCTCTTCATCTTCATCTTCATCTTCCTCTTCAATTGTTAGTAAAGACTCTCTAGGTTTTAATGGTTTGATAAAGCACTCATGTACTTTTATTTGTAAAGATGTAACAGTCCTACTTATAAATATTCCTTCAATTATCAACGCCATTTTAACATTGCAGTACTGGTTAATATATTTAAAAGGATTTAAATCCTTCTTTCCCATTGTCTTAAACAGAGAAAGAATTTTCTTTGATTTTTCAGAGTAAATAAGTTTTGCGTAGAGAACTGGTGCGGATGAAGGATCTATTCTTGTTTTCTTCTTTCCTTTCTTATCTGTATATTCTTCTTGTTTGAAATAAAATGGTGAAGATAGAGTTGATGCTAGATCTGCACCGTATTCATTCTCTAAATGTTGCTGAGAGAGAGTTAATACATTATTAATAATATCAAAAAATGCTTTTTCTTTAGTATTCGGCTCACTATCTTTAGCCCAAAGACATACTGGCATACTATAACCAACCAACTTGTTTGTTTCTTGATTTTTCTTCTCATTCACACCAAAGCTGAAAAGAAGTGGAGTTTCAACTACTAAAGCTCCTTTCTTTCCATTTGGATATTCAATTTCAATTGGGATGCGTTTGTATTTAATCTTGCTGTCTTTTACTTTGTATTCTTTGGCTTGATTAAAAATAATGTTGTCGGTTGTAAGATTTTCGTAATTGGATAACTGCATTCTTGTTATAATAATTTAATCCTTAAGCCTTTTTTTAAATTCACTCAAATAATTTAAAATACCTCTAAAACAAAAACTAATGTCTGAATATAATATATCTTTATTTCTTTCAAATTTAAGTTCAAAAAATTTACTTTCAAGTTTTATTAATCTTAATTCTATTTTTTCAATTAAATCAAAAACTTCACTAGATTTATCAATATACGATCTACAAACTACATCATTTTAACTCATTTTATTATACTTTATATAATCTTTAATTTATTTTTCTGGCCAGAGTAGATGTACACTCCAATAGTTACTCGATTCAGGATTAGTATAAGTTAACTCTCCTTGTTTATTTTTTATCTTTTTAGCTCTAGCAAGATATTTATCTCGTCGATCTTTGTCTTTGTGAATAATATAGTCTGGATAATTTGGTGATCCAAAATGAACTTTCTTTCCACCTGGAAGTATTGCCATGTATTTGTTATTTTTACGTGTTGAATAATCAAACGATTGTGCACCAAGCTTTATAGCATTTTTGGTTAGTTTTTTGAACTCTTTACCCGAAACAACATATTTATCATCATCTGATGAAGGTTCATCATGTGGCACATATGTTAGATCCTCATCATGTCCATATCCATCATCAACTATAAAATCCAAATCTTCTTTTGAAGTCATTTTATTAGTTAATTAGATTATTTTTGTTAGGAAATTACCCTACTAAAATCATCAAATGGAAAATTTCCAAAAATATTATTAATAGACTTTAATCTATTATACCAATCATCTGTTCTTGTAATTGGTACAGAAATATTTAAAATCTCATCATCCAAATCCTCATCTCTCAAAACACATTTTCTTAAAATTAAAAAATTTTTTCCTTCATCAATATGAAAACCACAAAAAGCGTATTCATATACTAAGCAGTTAAGAATAGTTTCTAAAAGTTCTAAACTAATTTTTTTGTCTTCAATATATGATTCTATACAATTACAAAAAATTTGAGATACATAAGAAAAAAATGTACGTATTTCATCAAATTCCTCACAATCCTCATAATCATTCATTATTTTATTAATATTTAAACAAATTGAATAAAGTCTACTAAAACCTTTCAAGATTCTTTCTTTTTCTAAATTATTAGTTTCTTTTGCCTCTTTAATCTTTTTAGCTAAATCTTCATTAAAATATTCAATCATTCTAAATATAAATATTATAATTTTTAAACCATAATAAGTCTTGTAACAAAAATTGTTATAAGAACACATAATCATTTTATTTAATAACTATATTTTTTTTAAGTTAATTTAAAAACAAAAAAATTATAATAAATGGTGTTTAAAAAATGGAATATTATTTATCCTTCAAAAAAAGTTTATAATGAACTAAAAACTATTGAAAAAAATATTAAACCTTTTTATAATAAATTACCAAATATTTCTTCTTATTATTACACCCCCTCTTTTTATAGAAATACTGATACTCTTATTAAAATAGAAAAAAGTGTAAATAAATTTTAAAAAACTAAGCTAATAGATGAAGATTGTTCTTTTCATGAAGAATTTCCAGCTATATCTTCATTTATTTACGAAGCATATTACTACGAAGATTCAGTTAGAAATTCTTCTGATAAAAAATTTATAGATATAGCTAACAATTTATTTAATAAAATAGATTGTTATAAATCGATGGAAATATTTAGTAAAGTATTAATCTTATAACAAAAAAATGTTATGAAATTAAAAATATTAATCACTATCACTATCAGATAATATAACCTCAAGATCATCACTATCAACTCCATCACTATCACTATCACTATCACTATCTAATATATTAATATTACGCTCAAAATCACTATAAGTCATTTCTTTAATATATACTTTACTCTTAAATCTTTCAAAACAATCATTAAACTCTACTAAATTTTTATATTCATAACTATCATATCTTTCCTGATTAAACTTACCACTATCTAAATCATAAAATAAATCCATATAATCATCTAATTGTAATTCTAGTGATTCAATGAAATTAATATCACTTTCTTCAAATTTAAACTCACTACTATCCTCAAGATAACCAAGTTCTTTAGCTTTTAAAAATCTTCTAAAATATAACATAAGTTGATAAGCTTGAGGAGTATCAAATATTTTTCCATCTATATCTAATTTTTTTACAAATTTTTCACATGTCTTATTAATACCTCTTATAAAAAGATATTCATTTTTAAATTCCCTTGCATATTCTGGGATTTTATTTTGCTCCAGAATGCATTTCTGGTAACACGAAGAGGTCGCCAGGATAACCATTTTCTATACTACTTACTAGGAGGTTAAGCAAGGACGACGCCTACAACAGAAACTAGAAATAAAATAGCCCGGGTAAAATAGCCTCGAACTTACACTAATTAGATATTAAGAATAAAAAAACCTCTGGCACCCAGAGCAGCTCTAATCACACTTTTTGATAAATTTCTTTGCTGTCATCGCACCAGTTACCTTTTCTCTTGGCCTGTCCGGCTCGACCTCCGACCTCCATAGCATTGCAATCATTCCTTGGTTGTCGCTTAAAGACGGAATCCACCAGAAAACTGAGTAATTTTAATTTTCAGTGGACAAAAACCTTGTATCAGAATAATTTAAAGAATATTGCAATCTTTTTTTTACATTTTTAAGGGCTATAGATGTACTTAGTGATCTGTAATAACACCAAAGAAAATTTCTAATGGGAGCCCGAGAAAATAAATGTCAAATTTCACAAGAATTGTGAATACGCAGGTAAAATTCTGACAATTTCATGTGTAAGATGTCATTTTGTGAAATTTGACATTTGGGGCCTGTGTTTCTGCTTCTTTTCTTGGTTGTTTTGTAAGGCTGTTTTACATAGGCTGCTGAACACAGGTTTATTAAAGAATGTGCAATTTTGTAACTAGTTACTACCACTTTGACCTACTTTGCTGCCAAAGTATGTAAGATCTAGTAGTCAATTTTTTCTGTCTGATCTCCGTCTGTTCATGATTTGTCCACTTAACAGATCTGGAACAAGGATTAGACCACTTGTTTTTATTGTAAAAACACTTGTAAACTATAACCTTTACCGGCGCTTATCTGGTTCGCTTAAGCAGTATAATTATAGTCTTTTTAAGTTGCCGGTGTTTCTTATAACCCAAATATCAGGTTAGATAAAGTCACTTCGGACAATTCAAAACGTTGACCTTATGTCATCAAGGGGCGTTTTTTCGAGGGCGAGCTGTCGGAGCTGTGTAAATTTACACTGTAGGAAAATTATATTGCTAACAACTCTAGCATTCAAAGATCACAAGTAAATGGCGACAAAAGAAATGTTTGTACTTGAAACAAATCATTTTTGTAGTCTTTTACCACGGTGTAAATTTACAAAGCGAGTACGTGCTCTATATGCATGGCCAATAATGAGAAAACTGAAGCCAACTATTAATGTCTCCAAGGTGATTTAATTTGACTGTGCAAAGCCCAAAAGAAGTTAAAAACCGTGAAAGGCGGTTAATAAAAAGACGATAGTTCTAATAAAGCCATACAAACTTTTAGAGGTAACCGCTTCTTTAGATAGGTAATGCAGTACAGAGGCTTATCAAAAACTGTACATCTATGTAGAGGTGTTATATACTACCTTATTATATAGACGCGAGTGTTTTACTGGAAAATATACCACTCGTAAAATTCATAAAAACTACATCCGGGACCCGAGTGGTTTATTTTCCATAATCTCACACGTGAGTTTATCGATGACGTAATTTCCCTCCGAAATTTGTAGGCGTCTTGCGTCTTTTGAATTCTACTTACATATTTTTCAAAGTTTTGCTTATATTTTGTCATTGTAGAACCCTATTCCGTTCAGTGTTATTTCTCAAGATTATTGTAAACAACGTCTTATATTGCTGTACTGTAAATTTGAGTCATCACAATTACTAATCTATTATTTTATCAATGTCTTTTTGTCTATATAATAAAAAGAAAATTACACGGCGGCTTGAAGATATGAATTTTATTTTCTCGTGGCAAAAACAATATTTTACTCACTCGCTGCGCTCGTTCGTAAAATATTGTTTTGTCACTCGAAAATAAAATTCATATCTTCGCGCCACCGTGTAATATCCTCTATATATTGCTGCTGAAGTACGAAAGACGTTAATGGTTTTTTTTTTCTGTCTGATCTTGTGGCCGTCTGTCTATCCCGCCTATTTTGATGTGGAACAAGGATTAGACCCGTCATTTTAACATTTGTTAGTAACCTATAACCTCTTTTCTGGCAAGAACTAATAAACTTACCGTCAATTTAACCGGGTAAGATAAACTGAATCATGTCGGACAAATTAAAAAGTTGACCCTAATGTCTTCAATTAGCTTTGCTCGCCGAGCGAGGAAAATCAAATATTGCACCGCGCAATTAAGTGAATTAGTCTTGTTTCGTAGAAGGCTACGGAATACTGATTTAACCCTTTGATTAAGGCAATCATAAGGAGTAAGTACTTGTTAATCAAGGGCTACGAAGTTCGGATCTTTGTTGGTTAAGATAATGATTTTAAGAAGTTCTCTTAAACACGGGCTACGAAATTCGGACCCTTGGCTTGATATGTTAATGAAAAACGGAAGTTCACGACCGTAAATATTAGCTAATATTGGCAGCGATCGGCTCCTGAAACGTCTAATAAAAACTCAAATTCGCGCTGTTTCAAACTTCATCGCTTTTGTACCATTTGGTTCATTTTTGTCAGATGTAGTAGAATTTGTCTGGAGATGAATTCTTCTGAATTCTTCAGGACTCTATCTAAGTTCAGAAAACAAAGAGAAAATCATCGCCCTGTGTTTTCGTCTATAAAACGTGAACTATTAGGCATTTTCACGAGTGCAGTGACGACAAAGAAATGTACAAAAAGTGTGATGCAAGTCAACAGGAAGTGCATGCAGAGTTGTTGTCTGGCTAAATAAGAATGTATTGATTTTTTGACGTTCTCGTTGCCGTCATCGTCGTGCTTGTGGCTGCGTAAGCTCTCTATTAGGAACTGGGCTATACAAGATTCAGACCCCTTGATAAACGTAATTTATTATCAAATTACGTTCTTGACGCATTTAAGTAGTATGTCTTAAAATTACGTTCGATCCCGGCAAGAAACTCCTGAAGAAGCGGTTTATACCCCTAACGGCTTCTATGGGTTTATTAGAACTAACCTCTTTTTACTAGCCGCCTTTCACGGTTTTTAACTTCTTTTGGTCTTTGCAATTAATGTTTATGATAAAATCAACAGATAGTCAAGGTCAAATTAACTCTGACAATAAATCACCTTAACTGGAGAAATTATTAGTTGGCCTCAGTTTTCTCATGATTGGCCATGCATATAGAGCACGTACTCGCTTTGTAAATTTACATCGTGGTAAAAGACCACATTAAAACAATTTGCTTCAAGTAAAAAGACTAAAAACTATTCTGTTTTTGTCATTCGATCACTTGTGATCTTTGAATGCTAGAATAGTTAGCAACATAATTTTCTACAGTGTAAATTTGCACAGCGCAGACAGCTCGCCGCCGAACGACGCCCCTTGTAGACAAAAGGTCAACATTTTGAATTGTCCGAAGTGATTTTATCTAACCTGATAATTTGACGGTAAGTTTAGGTTATAAGGAACAGCGGCAACTTA